GATCTCCTCCGCTGCTCCCAGAGCTGGACTGCACCCTCTGCCTCGGAGCCTTTCGCTCCATGCTGGTGCTTGGTGGCTCTGGAGACGGCAGGAACGATGCTCCCAATGGTTCTCCTCCACTGCCTGGACTGGCAGGAGAACAGGAGGGAGCTCTGGGCTCAGGCTTAATCTGAATTCACTCCCTTCTGTGCCTTACAGGGGCCAGGAGGAGACCTGGGCCATATTCCTTGTAGCGGAAAACCTATTTCCGTGTCCTCTGTTTGCTTTTCACTGTTTATTTCCTGTTAACAAAGGTGGTGGCAGCACAAATGTTACCAAGTTGCAGCAACAGGCACAGCTTGATTGGGAGTATGTGATCCCTGATCCAGATAGATCCCAGAAAGATTCTAGGATCCATGGGAATCTGGCCTGGACAGCTCTGGGTGCTGCTGGTGGGGTCACAGCTCCCCTCTGCAGTCACTGAGCATTGACTTGACCCTCAGGATTCTGATCCCAGCCCAGGGAATCACCCTGGCCTAAGGCTGGGCTCCCTGCAAGTGACACAGGACTTGCTGTGCCATGCTGGGGACTGTGTGCCTGGTTTGTCCCCATGGCTGCAGCTCTGCTCATGGTCACTGGCTGTGGACCCCCAGGGCAGCAAGCCCAGTGCCACTCTCACGAGCTGCACCAGCACAACCCCTCTGTGCAGCAGCCTTTGCCAGGGGTCTGTCCATGGAGAACCCTGTGGATGGGGTCCCCTTCCCCCAGAAATGGATGTGGGAGGAGAAGGACCAAAGACACAGGAGCCCAAGGCTTTCCTGGTCTGACCTGAGACCCACAGCCCAGTCAGGAGCTGGCCCTGACCAGGGGCTCCAGCCGTGCTTGTAGCTCTGCCACCCTGCCTGTCATTTATTGGTGACCACAGGCCCTACAGTCTGGACAGGCAATTAATACACACTAATAAATACCCATAATGATGTGTCCTGGCCTCATCAAACACCATGGGAGCACCATGAGATAGCAGTGAGTGCAATTACCAGGGCAGAGGCAGCTCACTCGCTCCCCTGGCCCCAAATTTTCCCTGGAGCAGAGCAGAGCTGTGGCTCTGCGTACCTGCGGATGCTGGCACAGAGAAGGTGCCAGGTTCCTGAGAAGCTGGGCACAGCACCATGTCAGGTACAGCCTGGCACAGCTCCAGTCTCTATGAAGCTTCTCCAGCCCAGGATGAGACCGCCTGACCTAAACCTGCCATCCAGGAACAGCCCTGCTATACAGGGGTAATAAATCGCTCATTTATTACCTTCCTTCGGGGAAAAATCAGCTGAAAGAAGCACAAGGACAAGCTCTCCCCAAGTCTTGCTGATTCCTTTCCCTTGGAACATTCTTTTTCTCCCTGGATTAAAGACAGGTCGGAGACGATTGGCCCCTATTTTCTGGAGCCTGGAGAGCTTAAATGAGAGCACGTTGATCTATACTTAATGTGATTAAGTTACATCTCTGATTATCATGCTAATTAAATTAAACTTCCCACTGCTGCCTCTGCAGCTTAAACAGGATAGTTGTTTTAAGACCACAATTCGCTCCTCTGCACATCCCTGCATGGATGAGCAGGTGGGATAAAAGCAATCTGCTAATCAAGTCATTGTGGTGTTTTGAAACAACTTCTACTGCAGTGGATATTCAAATTTAAATCTGATTTGAGCTGGATTTAAACTGTTTTCAATCTAAGGTCACTTGTGCTTTGAGTAAGGAAAATAACAGGAAAAAGCAGAAATAAACAGAGTGTGTCTGTGTTGAGACAGCGAGCTATTGGAAGAAATTCTTCCCTGTGAGGGGGTGAGGCCCTGGCACAGGTTGCCCAGAGAAGCTGTGGCTGCCCCATCCCTAGAAGTGTTCCAGCCTAGGTTGGATGGGGCTTGGAGCAACCTGGGCTGGTGGAAGGTGTCCCTGCCCATGGCAGGGGGTAGAACAAGATGAGCTTTAAGGTCCCTTCCAAACCAAACCATTCCATGATCTCCCCAAGACACCTCTCCCCCGCCCTCCTCCCGCCTCCAGCAGCCCTGAGAACCTGAGAACCTGCACTGCTCTTTCCACCTTGCAGCTTCTAAAACAAACGGAGATTTCAAAGCTCTGCCCTCATTGCTTTGACAGCGTGGCCCTGACCCGCTGCGGAGGGACGGCGGCACGGGTGGGGGGTCGGGTGCCCCAGGAGAGGGTGGGAGCTGGGGGAGCAGGATGGGAGCACTGGGAGCATTCATGGCTCATTCACCAGCAAGGACCTGGGGGATCTGTCAGGGATGGAGGTATTGAACTGACGGTGCAGCACATCCCTGGGCTGGAGGGGAGCAGCAGCAGCGGTGCCTGGGAAACAGATACCAGGCAGTGCCTCAGCACAGGGAGCTTTCAGACAGCAACGGGCGCATCCCTGTGCTGGCAAAGCACTGCACAGCTCCAGCTTGGAGCTGCTGTGGGAACAGCTCCAGCTGTGCCAGGCTCACACTGTTCCTGCACTCCCAGCTCTGCCCAAGGTGGGAGGACAAAGCTCATCCCGTGTGATTTAACAGATCAGTGTGGGGGAAACAAGGGGCTCTTCAGCAGAGAAAGTAGCTCAGTTTTAAACGATGCCAGATTCACACCAGGAAAGGGGTCTCAGCCCAGCACCCTGTGCTGAGGGTGTCCTTGCTCCACACAGACCCCTGCAGACCCCCACAGACACCCACAGGTCCCCTCAGACCCCTCAGCCAGCTCCTTCAATTAGACCTGGCAGTGATTCAGTCCATCTGCTGAGCCTTCCTGAGCAGAGGCAGGACCAGGGCTCAGGAGGGTCTCCCCCTTTGTTACACAGAGCCATTCCATGTGAACCACCCAGAGAAAAGAAGGGTCAGCAACGGAGAAAATGCTATTATCTATTATCTATTATTTTTTACAGCTGCTATGGCACCAGCTGCCTCTGTTCTGTCATTTATGCTTGAGCTGGTCTTTGGTCAGGGTGTTAAACCCTGCTCCCCTGGCACGCTCTGCAGGCAGATCACACCAGCAGCAGGGATTTCTCACCTTCATCTCAAAGCCTGGGACAAGGGCAGCCCCTCTGGCAGCCCCCACAGCCCCCACTGCTGAGCACAGCCTTGGCTTTCATCTCCACACCCGCACTGAAGGACTGGGACTGGAATCCACAGCTCTGCAAAGTCCCAGGAGTGACATAAATCCTGTATAAACCGCAGGAGATTAACTGTCCCTCACCTGTGTGCTGGGGCTTGGCTCAGGGAGAGCTGCATCGGGGCTCATGGAGGGGGGCTGATGGTGGAGGGGCTCTGTCTGGCTGTGGTGGGACCCCCCCAACCTCGACTCACTCTCCACTCAGAGCAGAGACCACCCTGCCACCCTCTCACCCAACCCCTTCACTTGGGGTAAAGTCTCATTGCTCCTCATAAACCCACACACAGAAAACTGTTGTACTTCAAAGGAGAGGTGTTCAAGGAACAATAATTTCGTGTTAAAGGAACAATAATGTTGGGTTCCACAGCACAGAGGGAGAAGCCTGTAGAGTGCAGCCCACCCGGTGCGGGGATTGATGGGACCAGAACTTACACCCGTCCCTGCCCACTGGGAGGGGGCAGCCCCAGGCTGGGAACCCCAGTTCATGCTCCCCACACTGGGTCAGGGGATACCCAGGGGCACACAGTGAGGTGGGGTGGCTCATTAGGAGAAAAAATCCCCTTCCCAGGGCTCTCAGGATCATGTGCAGGCAAGGAGCCAGTGGGTGATGTCCCCTGGCAGAGCCATGTCCCCTGCTCCTCCTCCACAACCAGGGGTGTGCAGATGTGGCACTTAGGGACATGGGTGAGTTGTGGCCTTGGCACTGCTGGGGGAACAGTTGGACTTGATGGTCTTAGAGGGCTTTTCCGACCTCAGTGACTCCATGATTCTGTGGTTCCATTCTATGACACCCCAAACAGCCGGGGCCAGACACACCAAAAAAATAAATGTGTTTTTAACTGGAGGTTTCTAACGGGTCTCCATGTGTGTGCCTGAGGGATTAACAGTGTCCAGAGGCTTCCCGTGCCGGGCAGACACCGGGCAGACACCAGGCAGCTGCGTCACGTCGTCACAGCAACCCGCTCACCCTGGCCCTGAAGCCGCAGCTCCAGCTCCAGCTCTCATGGTCTTTCCTGGAGTTTCTTTTAATTACAGATGAGAAAGGCTGGGACAGTCAGGGCTGAAGCCCCTCAGAGCCCTGGGAGCACCTGGTGACCCCGTGCTCAATCATGTTTCACTGCAATAAAATCTGCTGTTAAACTGACACAGGGCAGAGCGGTGGCTCTGGGGACACTGCCATTCCCTCCTGGTCACAGCTCAGCTGTGAAAGTTATTTCAATTTCATGTGGCTTATTCCCAACAATTCACACCCTAGAGAGACCCAGCGAGCCCAGATGGATAAGGTGACCTTTAAACATCCCTTCCAACCCAAACCATTCCATGATTCCTGATCTTTCCCTGCAAGAACGAGTGGTCACCTTCTCCGGTGGGTCTGGTGTCATCATTTGTAGAGTGGTAACAGCAAAACACCAGGGACAGAGAAATAAGGATTTTTCAGGAGGAAGGAGGAAACACGGTCCTGTTTCACCAGCCCAGTCCCCAAATGCACCCAGCAGGTACTGAGGGGACGGGACCCGCAGGGTGAGGTTGGTCCCTGTGGGGTCAGGCTGGTCCTGTGGGGTCAGGGTGGTCCCCACGAGATCAGGCTGAACCCCACGGGGTGAGGTGGGTCCCCACAGGGTGAAGCTGGTGGTCCCTGCGGGGTCAAGCTGGTCCCTGCTCGGGGGCTGCTCTCCCATCCTGCCTTTGATCAGAGCTCTGCTTTCCCTGCCGGCTGCTCTCCGTGCCGTGGGTTTCCAGCGGGAGGTGGGGAAGCGCAGTCAGCCTGACCCTCCCCTCCTCGGATCTGTCAGCAGCAACAGAAAAATCCTCCCCGGCCCCAAGTTGCTCAGCCTGAATCCTGCAGGATTTGCCAGGGCAGCAGGATGGCAGAGCAGCTCTGCCCGGGTCTGCCCCCCAGCCTTGCACCCCTGAACCCTCAAACCCACCCCAGGGACAAGTGGAGCAAAAAGATGGATTTCCTCCTCTCGGTCATCGGATTTGCCGTCGATCTGGGCAACGTCTGGCGGTTCCCTTACATCTGCTACCAGAATGGAGGGGGTAAGGACACCACTGGGGTTGTTTAAGTCTTCTTTTGAAGAAAAGACATCTTTTTTTCTCATTTTTCCATCTTTCCCACCCTGAAAAACTCCCTGTTTCTTTTCTTTCTTTGTCTCCAGCTGCTCTGCTCTGGACAGGGCGGTTTAGAGACCGACCCAACTTCTCCTGACATCTCTTTCTGTTCTGTTTGCATCTTTCTTCATTCAAAATCCTCCTCCATTCCCTCCATCCTCCTTCCCTGGGGTCCTTCCCTCCTTCCCTGGTGTCTTTCCCTCCTTTCCCCGTGGGGCTAGAGGTGTGTTAACAGCTCTAGGATCACAAAGGGAAAACTAGCACGATCCAAACCACAATAAAGGATTAAGATCTCTAAATTTGGGGTGGGAGGTTTATACACTTTATGATCATGGGACTCGGGGAAGCTGCCCTTTGGGGTGACTTGGTTTAAAATCATCCTCGTGAGGATCCCACCCTCCTGCCGTGGATCCTGGCCAGCGATGCTGGACCCCATGAGCAGCCCTGGCTCCGGGGGGTTCAGCCTGTGAAGGATCAATGGAAAATGAAGATACAAAAGCTTCATGCAGGAAAAATCTTTCAGTAAATGACAACTAAATAAATTGCTTTAAATGGAGCAGGGTAGAAACCTCTCTCACATGGAAATCAAAAAGGAGGGATGAGAATTTTGTGCTGTTTGGGAAAGCGCAGCGGATTTAATTGCCAAAGTCAGCTTTCAGGGAACATCCTCTACTGCTTGGGAAAATTAGAAAGAGATAATTAGTTCCATACTCAAGGCAAAACTGTGGATCCCAGGTGCCCACACTGAAGCACAGTTATTTGCGAGTTGCTCCTGTGGGATTGGGACCAAAGCTGAGCCCCTCTGTGTGGCTGTGGATCGGGTGGGGGATTTCCACCCACCCCACACACACAGGAGGGTGAGGAGTTCAGGCAGCAGCTCTGGGGGAGTGCAGCCACAGTCCCTGTAGAACAGGAGCACCAGGATGGCCAGCGCTGGGCTCACCCACAGCCCAGGACCTGCCTGGAAGGGAAACACTGGAGAAAACATTGCCCCACTGGGCCAGTCCAGCCGAGAAATGGGGGAATACAGGAGGGTGCTGGGGATGCTGAGGATGCTGAGAGTGCTGGGGATACTGGGCGTGCTGGGGGTATTTGGGATACTGGAGATGACAGGGATATTGGGAATGCTGGAGATGCTGGGGATACTGGGGATGCTGAGGGTGCTGAGGATACTGGGAATGTTGGGGGTGCCACATCACACACACAGAGAGCTCTCAGAGAGAGGAGCCGTGGGGGTTAAATTAACTAGTCCCAGCAGAACTCGGAGAGCAGCTCCACTTCCAAAACCTCCATGGGGTATGAGTGTAGCCCTGGTAAAAATGAGACTGTTATGAATAATGCAAATTACAGCTTAATTATGCGTCTTGGAGTGGCTGTGCATATTCAGTGGGATTTTCTCCAAAATACTTCTAGACCTGAGGGGTGCTTGGTGTCCCTTCCCCTGCACCCCAATGGTTTGTGTGGCTCTTTGTACCATCCTGGCTAGCAGGGGAGTCCTAGGAAGCCCAAGAAGCTGGGACTCCAAGCAGGGTCTCTCATCTCTGAGCCCCAGATCATTTCCAAAGCATCTCACAAACACATCCAAACCCGACGTGCTGCACTGGGGCAGCACCGTGAGGGAGGAAGGCGACAATATCATGGTCCTCCCCTCGCAGCCTGGTGGTGACCCTGCTCTGCTCCCGCCCCACAGGAGCCTTCCTCATCCCCTACACGCTGATGGCTGTTTTTGGAGGGGTGCCCCTCTTCTACATGGAGCTGGCCCTGGGGCAGTTCCACAGGACAGGAGCCATCCCCATCTGGAAGCGCATCTGCCCCATCTTTAAAGGTGAGAGCCCCCCAGCCCAGGCCCCACGTGCTGGGGTGCAGGGCCATGCTGGCAGTGCCACTCCCCACAGCCATGACCCAGGGGCTGAGCCTGCTCTTGGCTTTTCCCAGGTATCGGATTTGCCATCTGCATCATTGGCCTCTACGTCTCCTTCTACTACAACACCATCATTGCCTGGGCTCTCTACTACTTCTACTCGTCCTTCTCGGGCACCCTGCCCTGGGCGAGCTGCGACAACCCCTGGAACACCCCTGACTGCACCAACTACTTCGGCAGGAGCAACGTCACCTGGACCAACTTCTCCAGGTCCCCTGCCGAGGAGTTTTACACGTAAGTCCACAGATGTGGATGGTGTGTTAAAGCTGGGCATGTCCCTGTGGAGGCACTTGGGTCTGCTGCTTGGAAGCAGGTGCCTGGGAGCAGGCTGTCAGGTGGGAATGCTCTTGGGGAGCTCAGGACTGCCTGCCCGGGGTTGATCCTGCTCCCCGGCCGTGGGGATCCCTGCCTGCAGGAGGAAGGTCCTGGAGATCCATAAATCCAGGGGTCTGTACGACATAGGAGGGATCCACTGGCAGCTGCTCCTCTGCCTCTTCCTCATCTTTGCCATTGTCTACTTCAGCCTGTGGAAAGGGGTGAAAACCTCTGGGAAGGTAAGGAGGGCTCCAGCAGCAGCCCTGCCCTGACACGGACATGCCAGAGCCCTGGGCAAGAGGGACCCATCACCAGGTGGGGGTTTTGCAACTCACCTGACTGCAGGAAGAGAAAATATCACCTCCCTCCCCCCCAGCCCCTGCCCCTCAGGGCGTCCCGAGTGAGCTGTGCCCGACACGGGGGGTCGGGTGCTCGGTGGTGCCGCGGGCTGACAGCTCTGTCCCCCCAGGTGGTTTGGGTGACGGCCACCCTGCCCTACGTCGTCCTCCTCATCCTACTGATCCGGGGGGCCACCCTGCCCGGCGCCTGGAGGGGAGTCGTCTTCTACCTGCGCCCGGACTGGGGCAAACTCCTGAGCACCGCGGTGAGTGCACGGGGGACGCACTGCCCCAGGGATGGCAGGACACAGACACCCTCCCTGGGACACCCATCCACCCCTGCCCACGGGTCTGGCCCCGCCACAGGGGATGGGGGCCTTGTTCCCACAGAAACAAGGTGCCCTGGACAGGTTCTTGGAAATGTAAATCCGTAATTGAATCACCCATTTCATTTTCGCCGGGTTTTGTTTGTGCCGAGCTCTCGCCCCAGCCTGACAATGGGCTTCCTGTGGGTAATTACCAGGCAGCACTTGAGAATTCTCATTAAAGGTAATGAGGGCCGTGCTGCCAGCACCGAACCTGCCGGCAGGAGTGGGTATGGGGGTTTGGGGCTCCCCTCAACTCCATCCTCCTCCAGACATGGGCAAGTACAGGTGACACTGCTTAATTCTGCTGCTGCAGGACCCCAGGGTGGATACCAGCTCCCTCCACCTCGTGACATTCCC